TTTCCGGTTTTAGATGTCAGACCGGACCGTTTTATTGCTGGGTCACGGTCGAACCGGTCCGACCGGCCGATTCGGTCCGGTTCTAACAACATTGGATATAATTATCTGAACTAGGACAATCAGGTTAAGAGTCCGAATTATTTACACAAAAAGTCAAGAAGATATACTATGTACTCGTCAAGGATGTTGGAAATTGCAATAATATTCTTTTACCACTGAAGTTAGTTATGTAATAAGGCCTCGTTTGGTTAGGAGTTAGGCCAATTAGTCTTGATTTACTAAATATTAATTAAATTACTGAACTTTTTTCGATATATGGTAAACCCAATAATTTTCCGAGTAGCTAGACCAACAAATATTATTTTATCATGGCCCAAATAATACAATTGGATTTTTATTAGTATATTTATTTTTATCTTAAGTAATCTTATTATGTTGTCTTGAAATTGGAATATATTTATGTAATGATTCTGACTAGGGTTCTTGTATTATGTTATCAGGCTGGCACATCTGAGCTGCATACATACACACATTACAACTTCACTGCCCAAAATGAAGAGGAACAATTTATTCGCCGACACAAGAACAGCTTATAAGCTAAAGATAGAGCTCACTCAAACAAATAGATCACTCGAAAACAACATCGGGATCGAATCATCTTCCATCTCAAACCAACGTGATAATAATAATCATCAACAAAATTCCACCACAGAAGTTGATCCATCGATAAAGAAAACCAAAGAGGATATTGCAAGATTCTTCTTCGAAAACGGGCTCGATTTCCATTCAGTAAGTTCCCCAAGTTTCCATAATATGATGGGTCCCAGAAAGTGCCACATCCCCACCCTCGATGAGCTAAAAGGGCCGTTATTTCAAGATGCATTAAAAGAAGTGACTAAATATATCGACGAGGCTAGAAATTCGTGGGCGCACACAGGATGCACTATCTTGCTCGATGAATGGAAGGGTGAAACGGGAAGGGATTTCATCAATGTTTTAGTTGTGCTGTATTGTACGGGATCCGCGGGTCCAGGATCGGGTCACTATGCAGATCGAGACGTACCAGAATGCTAAGCGCGGGTTTGGATTGGGATGGCCGGAGGACCAGAGATCGAATACTTTTCCCGGTTCGATTACTTTTTTTTTTAAATATATATTACAATTGTGTACTAAAATGTCATTTCGCTTTTATTTATACCGTTTTTACGTCGAATTTTCATTCATGCATGCAAATCTCTCTCACTCGACTTGCACCCAACACGCACCCGACATCCACCCGACATTCACTCAACATTCACTCGACATGCACCTAACATGCGCTCGACATTCACCTGACATGCACCCGACATTCACTCGACATGCACCCAACATGCAATTCCCAATCTAGTTGGTTTCAGTTTGATTAGAAAGCCAACTTAAAGGACTACAAATTTGGTGTTCTGAGTTAATACAATTGGATTTTTATTAGTATATTTATTTTTATCTTAAGTAATTTTATTATGTTGTCTTGAAATTGGAATATATTTATGTAATGATTCTGACTAGTGTTCTTGTATTATGTTATCAGGCACATTTGAGTTGCATACATACACATTTTACAACTTCACTGTCCAAAATGAAGAGGAACGATTTATTCCCCGACAATACTTCTCCAGGTTCGATTATATATATATATATATATATATATATATATATATATATATATATATATATATATATATATATATATATATATA